TAATCTGACATCCCGGGGTGACAAATAATTCCCAGTCATCCTACTTGTCTCGGATACAAAATACAATTCAATTGCGATCAGTAGAGGGCCTCATGTCTCGTGTGGCACGTGTGGCAGCAACTACGCTCAGTAGAGTGTCTCTTGGCTCGTGTGGCAACAACCACGATCAGTAGAGTGTCTCATGTCTAGTGTGGCAACAACCACGATCAGTAGAGTGTCTCATGGCTCGTGTGGCAATAACTAGCAGAGTGTCTCATGTCTAGTGTGGCCACAACTACGATCAGCTAGTAGAGTGTCTCATGAGTCGTGTTGCAACAGCTACGATCAGTAGAGTGTCTCATGTCTAGTGTGGCAACAACCACGATCAGTAGAGTGTCGCCTGGCTCGTGTGGCAACAAATACAATCTACTGAGGATCGGCGTAGACGCAGTTTGATTTATAAATTTTTTCTTCGCTCTCGTATACTATGATTTTTAGCTCGCACAATATTTAACAAGCAATTCGGTTTAACATTTGCTATTTACCTTAAGTATGAGTATTTCTATCACAGCTGTGTCTCAATCAGCTGAGCGCGTTAAAGAGGACGTAAACCTAAGAGTAAACGCAATTGCAACTTGCGATTGCAACTTCGCATCAGGTATACATATTTAATTTTTTAATTTCAAACTTACAAGAATAATAATGGAAAGCAAATTTTCGTTCAGTTTATTAACTGCCATGGCGGCACAGTCCAATTCCTACAACGTTCATGACGCTATTAATTGAAAGACGAAACTGTACTCAAACTATGATGGCCTTAACCCGATGACCAATAAACAAGGCCTAAACATAAAACCTTTCTTCACACGGTGTGGGAAATTTCCCACCGTTTGATTATTTTTTATTGTTAAGCTTGTATTTGAATAAAGTGTTGGGGTAGTATTAAGATAATTTGGGGAAATTTAGATTCCGTAATTTGGGATGGTGAGAGCGGGGAGCCGGAAAATCAGGAGTAGGAAGCATTACGCCAGGTTGAGGAGAGGTTCGAAACCGAGAAGAGAAGGTTAAGTGTTTGCGTCACCGCCTTAATATAGATCGCCAGCGCCGCTTCAATTATACTCAAGTTAAATTCTACTAATCTTCCTTGAACTTTGCTGTGTCTTTACTTTATTTTGTGTGCCAGAGTTTCTTCCGTTTTGTTTAGTTGCTTACTGCTTTGCTTTATTTACAACTGGATGCTTCAGTTTCAATTAATTCTATTAAAATATCTTAATCATCTTCAACAATTAAAATTCAATTTACTTAACGTTCAAGATGGCGGCACTGAAAATAGCTGTGTTGTCACTAGCTCAAGTCGTCACTTGTTCATTATCCTTCTTTCTAATCAAACTCTTCAACTATTCTTTACTATTTCCTAACTGAAGCATCCTCCTTAATCTGATTTCATCTATTTTTATTGAATTGTCTCTTCTAAAAGTGTATTAACACACTGAGTCCACAATTAACTCAGGTGTGTTAACATTTAATTTTTTTCTATCTGTTTTAAAATCTCACATGATACTTTTAAAATCTCATATGATACTTTGAAATTTAGCTGAAACGGTTACTTATTCATTCACCTGTATTCAGCCTGCACCCTTATTTTATTTTCAGTATCACTCCATCTGTTCAAGACCAGCTGCAACTCTTTGGTACCGATGACGATAGCATGCCGCATTTTCTGATGTCCTTGATTCCCTTGCCGAGACCATTGCCGACTCCTTCAAGTCTACCAACAATTATCGTTTGTTCAACCTTCATCTATAAATCGTTCCATCTAAATGAATTGAATAAATCTCTATAGCTGTCATTCAACGTACTGTCACTTACCTCAGGAACGATTGTGTGAAATTTTTCACAACGGGCCAGATATTGTTGAAAAATTGTATCTTTAATCGATAGAAAAAATCCATATTTTCTAGAAAATAGAAAAATCCGCGTTTTCTAGATGGTTTATAACTGCAACCATGCACGTGTGCTCACGAAGGGTTCACATTTGTACTAACATTGTACAGTATCTGATTACATATTTTTTATCGCGGACTCCTGCGCACGTATCGTCCTCACGAGTTTCAGTTTAATAATTCAAAGAATAATAGAATTTATAACAATTAAGACTTACGTTGTGCTTAGATCGGTCAAAACGTCACTTGACATCTTTTATGAAATAACGAAACCAAACGATAAGTGAAAACAGAATAATTCTATAACTTTTCTTCAAACTTTGTACGTACATATCATGCATGAAGGAAGATAAGCATGAGTTGGTCGGTGAGGCGGCTGATAGCATCAAGAGGCTGTTGTACTGCTGGCCATGGTTGAATTAATATTAATAATATATAATATTTCAACCATGCTGCTGGCGACCTGTCCACTTCTAACCTCGTGAATGATAGTCTGATATGAAGTCAATTTATTGTTGTGTAATGATCTTGTGAGCTGATGATTAAATAAGTCGTTCTTTGGAACTTTGCGTACTCATGAATGGTGAATATAAATGACATTAATAAATATCAATGATAAATAAATTAAGGCGAACCGTAAACATGGTTAATTGAGCTCAAAAGCGCGGTAAGCCATAGGTTACGGCATGGCGCTCACTACAAAGAAAAAAATTAATGGTCTTTACCATTTAAATAAACAAATGAAAGGATTATTCTAGATTTATTTAAATTAAAATTTAATTATTAATAGTTTCTATTCGCAATCATACCTCTGGAGGTGCCTAACCTCGTTAAAATAAACCTTTCAGGTTACTCCAGAATACGTACCAAGTTGTTTACCGATAACAATAACATGGCGCTAAGGAAACCGAAAATTTGGATTCACTTCAGTCTCCTTCACTACTACTTTGAAAAATGAACGGAATATTCGTAATAAACTTTCTTACAGATTTTGTTAAGTATGCATATATTCCTATATATACCTATAACGGGGTGAAAGTTTCCTGTTAGAAAAAGGAGTTTTTGATCAATATTGATATCTAATATTCATGTTGCTGTGAATATTATCAGTGAACTGTTAGATAATTCAAGCAATAATTATTACGAATGAACAAATCTGCCCAAAGGTTTTGCTCATCTGAAGATGGTGGAATCGATCGTTTCTTCAAATCATTCTTCGAGTTGAACGGATATATATACGAACGGTTTCAATTACACAAAAGACATTCAAAACACATCCATTCAAATGGCGGACACAAGACATTATAAGAATATTCAAGGGATATATTTTACGAAGTCTGGCTTGCTGGATCGCTGTTGCCATCTTTTTAGCGCATTTTTTCATTTATGGAAAAAAAGGCACTATTGTGTTCGTCATGTCTGTCCGTCCATCTGTCTGTCTGTCCGTCCGTGACTTCACGTTTTCACCTACCAGAAAATGCGCTCTCTGTCACTCACTGCAGTAGGTACTGAGTTATATTTTTTCGTTAATACTTTCGTGACTTTGCTACTATTTCTTCTCGGCATTTCGGCACATGTCATTGTCTTTTTTTCGGGATTTATCTCTTTGCGTTCTTCTTCTATTTGGTCGCGTTAGGACGTCTACTGTTGGCGGAATACGGATTCTGAACGCTTGGTGTGGCTACAGTCATGCCTCCACGGGGTCAGGATTAACGATTTTTTCACATTCCACTGCCCAAAAATTTAAGCTATTATAGTACAACCAGACTTAACCCTCTTCCGCCGTATGTCACTCTCCGGGAACATAACTTTCAACTTATACGTAAACTATTGAGTGTAGCAACCTGAGTACGTTTGTATGCAACAGAGAACCTTTAAAAGTTGTACGTGGCGGCAACCATCAGTGTGTAGCGGATCTCGCTACATAACTACTTTTATATTTAAGAAAATAGTTTAGAGAGAATTCATGCTAGCGAATCACTGCTTCCGTTAGCAGCATTCATTTCCGGTAGGTCTCTCACAGCTCACTTCTGCTCACTCGGAGCTCCCTTCTATTCCACCAGCTGCTCAAGCAACATCCTTGTGAGATCCCTAACTTAAAAATATTGCCTTTAGGATTGCCCTTATTTCAGTTGTGCTCTATGCAGTGTAGCCGTAATAGATGGAATCTGGAGACAGTGCAAGGTTCTGTGTTAGTCGATTTTGTCATGCCTTAAGTTCTCATGATAACTTGTTTACTTTCCAAACTGAATCGTGTGTTCAAAATTAACAAAGCTCTGTTTCGCAGCAACATCCCGTCATCACCTACCAAGCACACATTGCTGCCCCTGTAACGACATCATCACAACTCCCCGTGCAACTCCACGTGCCTCTTGCAAATCCACGTGGTTCTCATCACGCCACGTGTATCTCACCACACCACGTGCACCTCGTCATCACCACGTGCTCCTGACACCTCGTCATCACCACGTGCTCCTGACACCTCGTCATCACCACGTGCTCCTGACACCTCGTCATCACCACGTGCTCCTGACACCTCGTCATCACCACGTGCTCCTGACACCTCGTCATCACCACATGCTCCTGACTCAATCTGTTCCTATTCACTAAATTTCAATCTGTTCCTATTGGCATAACTCTTGTCCCCTGGCCTTGAAAACCCCGGAAATGGAACCAAAGTTAAACAATAATTGAATGTGGTCGAGTGTTAGCCCCCACAAGTGCGTCATTTTGCGCTCGTTAGCAACGTGTTTTTTTTCTGTGAAGGCTTGTGTGAAAATATTGCTCCGGTTACTTATGTCAGGCTACCGAATTCAGGCTACTGAAATGAATTCGTAATCAAATGCTACTGATTTGTTGCATCAAGCGTTTACTTAAATTAATTAATTGTCCAATAATTTCACACTACTGCACTCGTTATCATCAATGAAATCATCATCACGTTATCATTTCTCGTTAATTCGTTATCATTACTCATTGGTCGTTATCAATGAAGATTACGGGCATGACGCTAGATTTTAAGGTAAAGTACTTCACTAACATGTAGATAGTGCTATTTCAGTTGTGCGAGAACACGAATCTGTCTTGCAGTGAGTTGGAGCTAATGCCTTGACAATTATGGAAAGGCTCCAAAAATATACTAATGGCTCGAAAAAAATTTGTATGGATGCAATTGCATCTGCCATATTTTCCTAAAACTAAAATTCAATCCTAGTTTATGTTTAAGTAAGATAGGAAGTATGAATAGCAAAGGCCAATGACATTCCTCAAGTATCAAGTTTTTTCTTAGTGAGCCATTTTTCTCTAACACAATTGATTTATCATCCTACATTTACTAGAATCTTACAAAATTTTCATTTCAAAATAATCATCTCATTTCAGATTTTCACAAACCACAATGTTTAGCTCAGGGCCAAGGGGTCCAAGCTATGCAAAGCTCAAGACCAATTTACAATCGTCAATTAACAAACTTAAGCTACTGGAGAAAAAGAAAATGGAATCGACTTTAAAAGCCAGAAAAGAAATAGCTCACTACATTGCTGCTGGCAAGGTGAGATAATAAAATATAATTTATTTCACATGTGGTTTGCTGCCACTGCTAAGTTGTTCAGTTGGTTGCATGTGTGTGTTACTGAAAAAGCAGCAACATCAAGTCATTTTTCATATCTCTATTAATTTCTTTGTCTAATAATACGCAATCCTGTTAGTTGACTCAATGAAATCAAATACTGAATAAAAGTTACAACAAATTCCTATACTGTGTTTAGTGTTATCTCTATATAGTTATTTGCAATCAGATCTTTCTTTTATTCAACACCCAATTGTAACTGCATTCCTTACTTATTAAAGTGACAGGATTCTTTCACTAATAAAAATTATTCCTGCAGACTGAACGAGCCAAAATTCGAGTGGAGCACATAATTAGAGAGGACTACCTAGTTGAAGCCATGGATGTCACTGAGATGTACTGCAATCTTGTCCTGGCAAGATTTGGCCTAATTCAGCAAATGAAGTGTGTTAATAAAATTGCTTATTGTCCTGTAATTACAGGGTCCGCCATAATTATGGCAACGGATGTTTGCTATATAAAAATAAATTGGTTTCTAGGAGACTTTTCTTTTATAATGAAGCTTAATATCATCTATTAATTTTATTGATCTATTTTATATTGCAGAAGTCTAAGTGTCTTAATTTACTATTACTTATGGCAGTAGATAGAAAAGCAATTTTTCTCCTAAATTTTTTTCCATTGTCGACTTCGACATCATCACTCTGTCGTTGCAACCATGTCTTCTCATACTGTAATCTTGCTGTTTGGCTTAGGTGGATTACTTTACATTTGTCAGCATTAAAACGCAGCTGCCACTTATCAGCCCAGTCAACCAAATTGTCAAGATCACCTTGCAACTGTACTTTTTGCGACGTATTCCTCACTGTATTATAAAATTTTGTGTCGTCAGCAAACATCGAGCACACGCTAGACACAGCTTCTGGCAGATCGTTTATATACGCAACGAATAAAACAGGCCCGAGAACGCTTCCTTGTGGCACGCCGCTGCGCACTGAAGCCCAGTCTGATACGGTCTCAATAATACTGACCCGTTGTCGTTTCCCTACTAGATACTCTATGATCCATTTGAGTACATTACTATCAATTCAATTTAACAAAGACTTCAATTTACGCAACAGCCGCTCGTGTGGGACACTGTCAAATGCCTTGGTAAATCGAGGTACACTGCATGATTGCATTTACTGGGTTCCTTTCATCCAGCAGGCGGGTCCATCCATTCAGAGTAGACAAGAGGTTAGTGGTGCAGGATCTACCGGCAATAAAGCCATGTTGACAGTCTGATAAGAGATTATTAACAGTCAAATGATCGATCAATCGATCCCTCACAACAGATTCCATTACCGTGCAAACGACACTTGTGAAACTGACAGGACGATAGTTGCCCGGGCAGCTTATGTCACCTTTTTTGAATAAAGGTGTTACTTGAGCTTTCCAGTCAGCCGGCAAGATCCCTTCCATTAAAGTTTTTCGAAAAAATTATGTCAAAGGGCCGGCAAGGACGGTTGCTAACTCTATGAGTAATCTGGGGTGCAAGCAGTCCGGTCCACAGGACTTGTTGGGATTTAGAGTGATCAGGCGCTTGAGAACCTCTTCTTGTATTTCAAAACTTGTTAATTTAGAGCCGACTGGACGCTCCTCAATAGCTGGAATACTGTTCAAGTCCTCGTCAGTGAATACACTACTAAAAACTAATTAAGAACGTTAGCCTTGCCCTCATCAGAGGATATCTTTCGCTGATATATTTTCAAATCAGAAATACCGTCCGTTGTCTTGCACTTCGAGCTAGCGTACAAAAAGAAGGCTTTCGTTTTTTTTACATTTCTGACGACATCTTTTTCTAAGAATTTTACTGATGTGCGACAGCTTTCTTAAACTAAATTTCGAGCTCTGGCGTATAGGTTGTAATCAGCATCGCTACGAGTCTCTAAATATCGCTGACAGGCTACCTTCTTTGTTTTCACCTAAGTTAGAACTCTACTGTTCATCCATTGAGTTTTTTGGCTCCACCGAGCTTAATTTTAGGTACACACGCAGCAACTGCAGACATAACCGTGTCCTTGAGAAATGACCATGACTCAGCCACATTCAGGTCCTTAAATACAATTCGAAATATTCACTGCTTCACGGAATTCATCATAGTAGCCTTTCGCAAAATTCAAATGCTCGCGCTTCCGAAGCTTCTTTTCTGTACAGCAATTAAGACTGAAAAACAAAATTGTTCCAGTATTCAAATCTACCTTTTATCTAAACACTAAAGTTTATCTATATTTGCTTACATGTGTTTGATTAAACCTGCTAAATATTGCATTTGCTGGGAAATCATTGTCAGTGCAAATATTATACAGACTGAGAGAAATGAATTATGATTGATTTCTGTCAAAAATGAATAAGAACTATGCAATCCTCAATCAAATGCATCAAAATTGCGACTCAAAACTCTTGAATAACCTCAATCGGTCTCAATATTACACTATTAGCTGGAAATGCCTGCTGCTGGATATGGTGGATGCACTGTACTCAGTAATATTAACTCTGTCATAATGGTCAGTTACTTTTTTTATTGTAGTTGCATCACATGGAGGTATGTCAGACTGACATACTTGGACACATAGTTAGTTTTGGCTTGTGTTTTACGATTGGAACTTTGTTTGTGAATATTAACATGTTCTCTCACAAATTTGCTCACCTTATGAATGCCTCCTCGATCATGACATTTCTGAAATCATTGCAGAGACCTGGACCCTGGTTTAAGTGAGGCCATCTCGTCTCTTGTGTGGTGTGCTCCTCGACTCATGTCCGATGTGCCAGAGCTCAAGGTAAGATTGGTATCATTTTTCGTTGTGCAGCTATTTGCGCATTTTTTCAAATTACTGCATCAAATTCTTACCATTCTTATTACATATAAAAATGCCGTCTTCTTAGGAATTATTATTTGAATGAACTTCACAATAACTTTCCTGTATTCTATGAATTTTATATACAGCTAAGAAAACTTTTTTCTTTGCAGATTGTTGCTGATCAGTTTGCGCTGAAGTATGGCAAGCCGTACGCCGTCGCGTGCCGGGAGCAGTCCATCAGCACCATCAGTGAGAAGCTCATCCACAAGCTCAGTGTTCAGGCACCACCTAAAGTTCTTGTGGAAAAATATCTTCAGGAAATTGCATACAACCACAATTTGGAATACACGCCAGACCCTCAAGTACGTACTTTGCCTTTCCCAGACGTTGTGGCATGAAGATTTTTCTCTTGTCACGTATTTTGAATTCCGCCTTAAGTGGTGTCCAAGTTTAATTTTTTTTGTTAGTTTACTACCTAATTGGCTCCATGAACTCAGCTAGTCTTTTGCCTGTTGAGTACATATACATTAGAAGTGAGTACGGTTAAATGGAATTGTCATTGCAAGTGATTTTTTATAGCATAAAAAATATATTATTTAGTTAGAAAAGAAGTTTTGTACTCCTCGTTACAGTTCATGTAAATGTTCAAAGCAAAATACCACCACTGAAGAAAATTCATGATTTCTTCATTGCAGATCATGCGCGAGTCAGAATGGGGGGCAGATGCACTCATCACCCTGGATGTCGGAAGCAAGAGTGGTGGGGCTTCAGGAGGAGGTGGCAGTGGAATCCCCCAGCAGCCTTTCTCATACCCCAATCTAGTGAATTATTTTTGTTGTGGTGTAGTGAAGACGGTAGTAATGGTTGGCTTTGACAGATTCAACAGCTATACGAATTTTCAATACTGTTGAACATTCTACAAAAAGAAGTGCGGGATTTCGGTATTTCCCGCATGAGTGCGGAAATTCGGTATTTACTTTCAAGATTCCTGTCTTTTACCTATCTTAGCGTTATGCTATGGATGATGGTTAGGCATGCTTTTTTTCTATTTGTATCTTCGTCACAAATTTTCTGCATTACTAGAAAGAATATATATCGTACTCTGCTATAAATACTCGAAGCAACGTGTTTTACACCAATGATCTAGATTCTAGATGATAAAAAGGTTGCAATTAACTGGTGCAGCATCTGGTGCTTCTGCGGTAAGGTACTGGGGATTACTAGTTGAATATAATGCAGTGATTTAAAGTTGCCGACGATTTGGCGCTAGAATTGTATGCTATCGAAGGCCTTGGGTGACGCTTCCCTACTTGAAGGGTAATAGTCAGTGGACGAGTTCGGGCAGTTTATTAGCTGTTCGTGAATATAAGATAACAGAGGTAAGCCTGTGAACAAGGATTAGGCATTGGAACATGACATAGTCATTTCTAGAAAGATCTACGCTGTTCACATTCCAGCGCATGAATCCAATTAAAGCGGTCTTCAACGGTTAATTTACTCTCAAATTACATACATATTATTAGTTACAAATCCAAAATACAATTCCATATCAATTCAAAATATAATTTAATTTAATAGCCAAATACATTTTACTATCAATTCAAAATACAATTCAAAAGTTTTATTCCTATTTAGGTATGTCAATTTCCAAATCACGGTCCGACGGTCGGAATTACAGTTCATTCAGTTAAATTCAAATTCCTCTTGTTAAAGCTCAATCAATTCAATTCCTCAAAAATAAACATTTAAAGTTTAATCGAAATTCATGTCAATTCTTCGATCCATTAACTATTAAGCATGTTCCAAAACTTTCCATCAAAACAGTGACAATGATGACTGAATCTAGTGCTGCCACTCAATGTTTTATGCGTCTGTGATTTAATTCATCTTAGCATATTTTACAATTTATTTTTCTTCTCATAAGGCAACCTAATTGCCGCTGATCTTTACTCTAGTCAAATTGAACATTAGGTCTCACGAGGATTAAGGAAATCCAGTCCACTCAACTGCTCTAGACTGATAATAGTCCTAATAATATGGAACAGCATTGCATTACATATTCACGCCGACATCAGAAATTAATATCATTAATATGAGAATCACTCAAGAATTAACTCAATCTCGCGTCAACATCAAAAGAGCTACAAGGAATTACTATTTGGTTAATCAAATTAATACTTAGTAATATTAAGTTGAATAATGTGATACTCTAAGTTAATCTTCCTTCATTTGAACTAGGAGGCCAAACAAGATCGGGTCATCAAAGAGCTCAACTAGTCTGGCCCCTATAGGTACTTGGGCAGGCAGGACACATTCGTAGTTCTCCTATAGCTCAATTCAGCATGTATAATGCTAGGATAAACTACACAGGAAATTTACCTACAACAAGGTTACATCATTAATGTTAATTTAACACTCACCCAGTGGTTATTTGAAAGATATCCTAGAGTATCTTTAGAGTCACCCGAACAGCAGCACGCCTCAATTCTAAATAGAGCCTTTAACGGTTCCAGAGCTCGATCGACGATGTTGCCAGAAGATGCGGGTGAAGTTTTTAGCTTACTCTTATTGTATGATTTACAGACTAATATTATTATTATTACCGTGGCTTAAAACTACAATCATCGGAACATTTTATAGGTATGGACTGGCCATGATTAACTGGCTTACGATGATGATTACTTTATCTTAGTTTATTTGTGATAGCTATCGGTCAAGGTTCACGAGCATCGTCATATTTACGGTATTAACTATGCGACAAAGTACAGCTTAACACCTAACAATCTCAACGGGGTTATAATAATCTCTCAGGTAGGAGGTTATACTCTAGGATATTATACTCCTCCACTACACTTCAATTCATATTTTAATTTTTTATTTACACAGCCCATTGATGTTTGTCCAAAGCCTTCTGCCAAGATGATGAAATCCATGAGTTCATTTCGTTTTACTGCTTTTATCTAATAACTTATCTGAATTCTATTTTACTGCCTATCAATTTAGTTTTGACACAAAGACCACCCCCGCCAGAGGTTGAGCCTGAGGATGATCCTCTCGTGCCTCACACTGTGCGTTTGACTCATCTTTTATTCACTGTGTCCTTTATAATATTATAAAGGACACAGCAAATGAATATAGAAACATTATATTTATTTGCTTTAATCTTAGCTTAGCGTCACGTTGATGCATTTGTCGTTCTCACTTTCGGCCTTGGTTCATTTCCTGGCACAGCTATAAATATTTCTTAATTTTCTATTCATGTTATTTCAATTCAGGGTTCTGTGCGTGGTTTGTCCATTTTTTATATATAGGCGGTTTAATGGCCAGGGCATTTGACTATCGGATTTAATTGTATATTCCACCACACGAACTCCAGCGCCCCACACGACGCTTTTATGACGCACGCACGACGCGACGCGCCAACCAATCCCCATCACATGACGCACTCATGACCAGCACACGACGCACCAATCACTAGCACACGACGCACCAATCACCAGCACACGACACCCGCACGACGTACTCACGGCGCACCCATGATTCCCGACGCATGCCACACCGAGTCACGCCCCTTCTCCCCACAGCGTCACGAGTTCCCCACTGAGGACGCTGGCACCTGGAATGGCACGAGGCTGACCAGCTCTCCTTCTCCTCCTCCCTACACCTCCATTGGGGCGGTGTCCCCGCCCTCCGCACCTCCCTCCTTCCGCCGTCTGCCGCCCCCTCGCACAGCAAGCTCAAATTCCTCCATGACGTCCCAGCCACGGTATCTCCACACCCGCCATTCATCTGATATACTCTAGCCTGATAACGCATATAACATTATAATATTCTATAAAATTTCTTCGACATATAGCTCCTCAGATAAGGTAGCGCATCTTTTCATATTGGTTCATTTTCATTGTCATTTTTCACATCAGTTAATCCTCCTGTCATTATATATCAAATTTTTCTGAGTTCAGTCATTTCCATTATTATAATTATGACTATCAATAAACACACTGACACATGTCTAGGTTTCATTCGGTTTCTAATTATTATTCGTGTTAATTCAAGCGTTATCGTTTCTTTTACTAATATTATTGGTGGCACTTGCTGACTGCATTCACTAGTTAGTGTATTATTGTCTCCTAATAGTCTTTTAGAGAACATTAACCGTTGGCATATTATGCTAGTGCTAAATCCTGTTTTGTGTAAATACGCAAAACAGAAAAGAGTGATAACACAGAAGGTAAAGGCTGCAAAGAGGTCATCTCTGATCTCGTCAGCGGGAGCTGCTAGATAGAGAGAAGAATACTTAACCTTTTTTGGTTTGGCATTCCCGAAAGCAATGCTTCGGATGCGGCGTTTATTACTGATTAATTTGTTGTGGTGTCAAGGCACTTAACGTCGTTGTGAATGTAACGGCATGCAAGAGGCTGCGATCGAAAGACCTACCACCAGTCAAGTTTCAACCGTGGTCGAGAGCGGACGCTCGTGTTTTGCGGTCTCAGATTTTCAACTTTTTACTTTTACTGTGCCGTTTTCGGAACTCTTTTTGCATTTTTTATGATCCGTGTCAGTGAATGACTAAATTTTCAGTGAAGTCGGTAAAAGAGAGTGCGAATAGAAAAAAAGCCTATAGTAAAGTGTTTCCACCTAAAATAACGCGATTTAGATTTAGAGTCAGCGAGGGCAACGAGCACTGCCCCCCCAGCGTAGAACAATAGAGCCCTTGTTTTATAGCCAAGCTTACCTCCTCTACCCTGAACACCTTTTCAGCCGCTGACTGAAAGCCACTTATTCTCAAGTCTGTAACCGAGTTTTTAAAGCACTTTGGAAACTTTACAATTTTACTCAACTTGATTCAGTTTTAACTTGTGTTTTTTTAGCTCTTGCATTTCATGATGGCTGGGCAGAGAGGAAAAAATTAAATGAGAAGGCCTCCAGTCCTGTTAAACCGAATTCGAAGATCAAATTGCAAAATGAACGAGGAGAAATTTGTAAATTTTGCAAGCTGGGATCGTTTAACGTCAATGAAGCTACAGTGGCCTGTGATCGTTGCGGGGATACCATCTGCAACAATTGTGCAAAGTTAAGCAAGACTGACTGCTCGGTTATTCGTAAAAACAAGTCAGTACACTGGTACTGCCAGGACTGCCAACAACCTGCACTTAGCGCTGTAAAAAAGCGAAAAAATGGTGGAAGAGAAGTGCTCTTCTATGTTTTCTGTTTTTAAAGCCGAAATTGAAGAAACCAACAAGCAAGAGTTGAGAAAGAGAGCCGAAATGGAAGAGAACCACAAGAAAGAATTGAGCTTGTTGCGTAGCGAATTACACTCGTTACGAAACGAGCTTGTGGAAATGAAAGCTCATCTGCACAAAACAAAAAATAGCGATAACACAGAAGGTAAAGGCCGCAAAGAGGTCATCTCTGATCTCGCCAACGAAAGCACTCGTGAACTGCTGGATAGAGACAGGTCGGACATGTGCTTAAGGCTGCGAGAAAACTAAGTGAATTCACAGAGTTTAATTCAGTCTTTGTTAAGAAGGATGCTACACCGTTAGAGAGAGAAAATTTTCGCAAGAAATAGCAGGAGAGATTCAGGCGGAAAAGCATGGAGACTCGGGTCAACCACTTTCACGATATCAAGACAACACCGACCGCACACGGTCAGTCAGCGGAGTTGGAAGACAAGTAAGAAGTCATGTCCATAGATCCAGGCATTTAAATAATGTAAAAAGTGAACGCATGCAAAGTGAAAGTGCACAAAAAGTTGTATAATATTTTTACACGAACTCGGATTCCATTTTAAACAGAAAAAGTGAACTATTAGCTGTGATCGCAAACGAGTGGAGAGACATTATTTGTCTTACAGAAACACTCCCTAAAAATTGTGGGGATAAAATTGTGCCTGTTGAATTTCAGTACCCAGATTTTGATTGTTTTCATTGAATGAAGAGCAGTGCAGTAAAGTTGTAGCTCAGTGGGTCAGAACCTCATTTGGGGCCCAGCAAGTTAAGTTATCTGTAGAGCATCAATCAGCTAGAGAATCAGTGTGGCGCGAACTTTCTCTCAAGGGCAAAAATAGCCTCCGCATAGGCGTCGTGTATAGATCCCCAAACAGTTCCTCTGATAACGATAAAGTACTAAACAGTCTATTGCCGAGCATGACTGTCCGTAGGTCACACAAGTTGATCGTTTGTGATTTTAATCATCCAGAGCTAGACTGGACAGGAGGATCCTCTACATGGGATGGGAATCACCCAGCATCCTTGTTCACGGAGTCTGCGAGAAACTCCTTCCTAGTCCAGCACGTTACCAAGCCAACCCATTATAGAAGTAAACAGAGTCCCAATATTCTAGACCGTGTTTACTAGTGATGAATCAATGTTAGATGTGATTCGTCACGAGGCTCCATTGGGCAAAAGCCATCACCATTTCAATCTTAGGTGCTGAACAGAAAAGACGCCTTGGAAGCGTGAGCGTTTGAATTTTGCGAAAGGCGACTAGGATAAACTCCGTGAAGCAGCGAATGCAGTGAATATTTCGAAGTGTATTTAAGGACATGAATGTGGCTGAGTCATGGTCATTTTTCTAGGACACGGTTATGTCTGTAGTTAATTGATGCGTGTGTAGCTAAAATTAAGCTTGGTGGAGCCAAAAAACTCAGTGGATGAACAGTACAGTTCTAGCTAAGCTGACAACCAAGAAGGAAGCATACCAGCGTTATTTACAGACTCGTAGCGATGCTGATTATAACCCATACTCAAGAGCACGAAATCAAGCTAAAGAAAGCTGTCGCACCGCAGTAAAAACCCTCAAAAAAATATTGCTGAAATGCAGAAAAAAAACCGAAAGCTTTCTTTTTGTGCGCTAGCTCAAGGTGCAAGATAAAGGACGGTATTTCTGATTTTAAAGTAGATCAACGAAAGATATCCTCTATTTAGGGCAAGGCTAACGTCCTTTTGATAAGTTTTTCAGTAGCGTATTCACTGAAGAGGACTTGAACAGTATTCCAGTTATTGAGGAGCGCCCAGTCGGCTCTAAATTAACAAGTTTCAAGATAGAAGAAGAGGTTTTCAAGCGCCTGATCGCTCTAAATCCAAATAAGTCATGTGGACCGGACGGCGTCCAACCCAGATTACTCAAAGAGTTCGCAACTGTCCTAGCCGGCCGTTTGATGTCATTTTTTCGAAAAACTTAGAACGAAGAGATCTTGCCGGCTGACTGGAAAGAAGCTCAAGTGACAACATTGTTTAAAAAGGTGACAGAGAGCTGCCCGGGCAACTATCGCCCTGTCAGTTTGACAAGTGTTTTTGCAAGGTAATGGAATCTGTTATGAGGGATAGATTGATCGATCAGTTGACTGCTAATAATCTCCTATCAGACTGTCAACATGGCTTTATTGCCGGTAGATCCTGCACCACTAACCTCTTGTCTACTGTGAATGAATGGACCCGTCTGCTGGACGAAAGGGAGCCAGTAGATGCAATGTACCTCGATTTTGCCAAGGCATTTGACAGTGTCCCACATGAGCGGCTGTTGCGGAAATTGCAGTCTTTGGGAATTGCCAGCAATGTACTCAAATGGATCAGAGATTTTCTAGTAGGGAGACGCCAACGTGTCAGTATTAATGGGTCCGTATCAGACTGGGCTCCAGTGCGCAGCGGCGTGCCGCAAGGAAGCGTTCTCTGACCTGTTTTATTCGTTGCGTTTAAAAACGATCTGCCAGAAGCTGTGTCTAGCGTGTGCTCGATGTATGCTGGCGACACAAAAGTTTATAATACAGTGAGGAATACATAGCAAAAAGTACAGTTGAAAGGTGATCTTGACAGTTCTATTGAATGGGCCGAGAAGTGGCAGCTGCGTTTTAACGCTGACAAATGTAAAGTAATCCACCTTGGCAAGAGTAATGAACAGCTAGATTACAGTATGAAATGACACGGTTGCAATGACAGAGTGATGATGTCGAAGTCAACAATGGGAATAGGACTTAGGAGTTAATGTCGACAATGAATTGCAATTTCCTAAGCATATTGAAGCTCAAGTTAATAAAGACAATAAACGACTTGGACTGATCAGACGCTATTACGAGTAGATAGATGCTTTAACGATGAAACTGTTGTTTGTCGCTGTCGTGCGTCCAAACCTAGAGTCTGGAAACGCCGTGTGATCAGCAAAACTAGAAAAGAACAAAAAATTAGTCAAGAGTAAAGCAAAGACGTGCAACAAGGATAATTTTGGGATTAAAAGGCAAGCCTTATGAAGAAAGGCTAAAGATTATGAAGCTTCCAAGCCTGTGTTATCAACGTCTGCTTGGTGACCTCATTGAATTATACAATTTCTTCTCTGCGTTTATTTTTTACCAGGACTGACATCACTCAATTTCAACCATCACGAGTACCTCCCTCAATAGAGTTTCATAGTGCATTTTTTAGGCTTATACCTGCATTACTTGTTTCAGTTTCTGCTTAAAGTCTTTTCGCTTGACTACTACCCCAATCCCTCAAAACGGTCTTGCATAAGAAGATGCGGTACGCATCATAGCGTATTGAATAAGTTCAAAATAGGTTCGTTTTTTAGGTACAAAGATATCGTCCGGCAAGTGGCCCCAATCGCCCTTCTACATTGTGAGACTGGCGTCCTTCCCCTGCTCGCTCACCTAGACCTGGCTTGCGGTCAGTTCCTACTTCCTAGCCAGCGCCCTCTAGCCCTTCCATACTTCATTCCACCTTGCCTCTGCCCCTCTCGGGGACTGCACCATGAAAGCCTCCACCAAGTCGAGATTCGGCCACCTTGTTGCGCCTTTTCTTCCAGACGA